GGTCATAGGCAGGAGGCAGTCATTCAATGATTCTCTCTCATCATTGATATTTCTATCTCTTTCCCTCTCCCTTCCTCTCTGAAATCATTAAAAAATATATTTATTTAAAAAAAGGACTTGTTCAGAATGCAATCTGGGAAGCCATTTCCGATTCCCTCCCAGGGGACTGGAGGGGGGAAAAGAGGGGAGAGACGCTGGTGTGGGGGGAGGGGGTGGACCAGCACTCAGCACCTGTCCCCTGCTTGTGCCAGGACTGTGTTGAGCTCATCGCACCCCCACCCACTAGGTCCATTGTACCTGGAAGCTGGGAAGGTGTTAAGGGGCTTGCCCAAGGTCACAAGGCGGAAGGTGGCAGGATTCAAACGCACATCTGTCCAAAGCAGGGTCCTGGCCCCAGAAGGCTCAGAAAACTCGCACGTGAGTGGACAGTAGGGCCGCTTGGCTCTGGGACTTCACAGAGAAGGTGAGGGAGGTGGACAGGCTGACTGGGAGTGTTGGTGGCAACCTTGAGTTTCACAAGGACTGGGCACAGGCAGCAAACACAGGATGTATTCAGTGCCTGCTTTAAAATGCAGCCCCTCCCTGCTCCCCTCCAACTGTTGGCTTCATTCACACTCTAGTGTGAATTACTCTAATTAGCTAATGTCTTCACACATAGCAAAGTGCTGCTTAGGCTTCTGGCCTAGACAGCTCCCTGAAGCAGGCCTGGAGGTACAAGTTGGGAGGAGAAGCTAGCGTTGGGTGGAAGGGGCTCCTGGGCCGGGGCCAGAGGAGGAGAGAACAGTTTGCAGAGACAGTTGCAAAGACAGGAAAGGCAAACATTTATTTAAATGAGATGGTTACATTCCAAACCTTATTTGAATGCGTGACATTCAGTATGAGAGGTGTTTCTCATCTATCATCTATCTATATACTCTGTCTATTCATCTGTCATCTATCTGTTTAACTATCATCTCTCTATCCATCCATCTACCTACCAACTGTCTATCCATTTATCATCTATTCACATTTCTATCTATCATCTATCAATCAATCATTTATCCATCCATCATCTATTTATCTCTTTATCTATCTATCTATCTATCTATCTATTCATCTATAGTCTACCTGTCTATCTATCCATCCTTCGTTGTCCTTGACCACAGAGTACAGGGCCTGAGCCTCCTGGGTGTGAGTGCTGGGAGTTGGGGGCTGGGAGGCTAGAGGGAGGGACAGAGAAACAGACCCTGTGAGGCCTGGCCCAGCTCAGGTGGGGCCCCTCAGAAAGCCTGGTTGTGCTCTCCCCTCTCCCCTCCCCCAGCCATCTCCCTGCTGTCTGCGCAGCTGTCTGTGTGACCTGTCCCCACTCCCATTCCAGAGTGTCACTCAGCACTGTGCCTGCTTCTACGTGCCCGGCTCCGTGGCTGTTGTTTACCTGGTGCTTGCACTTCCCAGTGCTCGGCCTGCGAGGGTGTGGGCCTGCGGGGCGGTCTCCATCGCCCGCTCCCACTCACAGGTGGGGAGCGCGTGGCCCCCCTCGTGGTCCTGTGACAGGCTTCCTGCCAAGTCCCCTGTGGTCCTTACCGTCCTCTAACAATTATGTGTTGTCGTGTTTCCCTTTCTCCAACTCCTGTCTTGCTCATTCATGGCTCCCCGATTCATTCATGTCTCCCTACTGCCCAGTGTGGCTGCTGACAGGGACCGGCCTCCAGTTAATATTAGTATTTGCTGAGTGACCGAAGCCAGTGGTCTCATTATGCCCACGGAGCTCTCTGGGCAGTCTTTGCTGAGACAGTCGTAGAGGGAAGAGTGTTTTTAAAAATTGAAAAGCATGAACTCATGATTAATTCATGCCCCCAACTAGGTTGTTCATTGTCATTTCACAAAGATTAAGGTTTGAAGGTTTCTTCTTCAGGTTTGCTGTACGTTACACTTGCAGGGACCACCGATCCTAGGCCCTGCCAGGCCCTGTGAGGTCCTGTCCCTCTGGGGCCCTCCTGTAACTGGACGATCAATGGGTCCGCCTGCCTGTCACTACTTGAGCCAATTCAGCAGAGACAGGGTTGAATCATACATGAGCGTTTATTCCAGTCCTGCCGGCAGCGTGGGAGAGCAGCAGGCCATCCACAGAAATCTGCTCTGAGCCCCCATAAGCCAGCTGCTTATATTGCATAGAAGGATGAAGATTACCTGGGAAGTAGGCAAAGGGTGTGCCAAATGGGCAGTTAACAGGTCTGCAGATTTGCAAAGGCCTGAGGGTGTGCAAAGGCTGGGGATCTTCAAAGGGCTGGCGGCTCTGGTTTCTGCAACAAGGTTGTTCATCTTTCCATGATCACAGGCAGCTCCCGATGGGGAGGGGGGGCCGCACTTCCAGGTGAGCTCCCAGGTCCCGCGTGCAACTCCCGGCCAGGTTAGGATGCGCCTTCTTTACTCAGAACAAAACAATCCCGGTTAACAGAGCATGATTATATTTTTTTACAATTCTAGCTGGCCCCCACCATTCTATTTCTGCCTCTGTCACTCCTTCTGAGCCGTGCATCCCCAGGTCCCCAGCACGGCCCTGGCTCCCCCTCTCCCCCTCCTCGCTGGCCGAGGACCCAGTGCGGTCCCTGCAGTTGCGGATCGGCCACGTCATTTACTAGCCGTGTGGCCATGAGCATCCACTTCCTCCCACAGAAGCACGGACATGTTTACAACCCTCTGTGAGGCTGGGTTTTGAAAATGAAGTGAAATAAAATGATGAGGTACCAGTCTGATAGCTGTCCCAAAGGGTTGTCCCCTCCCGCAGGCCTCCCTGTCCCCTTCACACAGGTCAGCCCTCCCCTCCTGAACCTGTCCTTTCTCTAGGACTCAGCTCGGTCACGTGTGGGGCTCTGTCTGGGGGGCCAGGCGTCGGCTGCCCCAGGGACACGGCAGCCGAGGTGCTTGGAGCCTGCCCTCCTGGCGGTGACTGGGGGAGGGAGACAGAAATTAAGCCATAATCCCAGGGGGTGGCTTACGGTCCAGAAATAATAAAGAGGGTGATGTGCTGGAAAGGAACTGAGGGAGGTGAGAGGCTTGCTGTGGAAATGACCTTGAGCCGAGACCAGGAGGGACAGTGAGGACCAGCTCTGGGGCATCTATGGAGAGAGCTGCGGAGGCACCCGGGAGACCCGGGCCCCAGGCCCATGCAGGCCCCGGGGTGAGGAGCAGTGAGGAGCCCGCAGCCGCTTCCCCTGAAACAGCTCAGGGTGCATGCTTTCCTCTGGGCTCCCGGCCCCAGACAGGCTGCTGCAGGTCCTGGTCCCGCCTCCCTCTCTGCCCCACTTGGCTTCCCATTCTGGGGGAGAAGCTGGCAGCGCCAGCTCAGAGACCGTGTGGGTGGTCCCGTGGGACCACAGACGCAGGCTGAGTCACGTGGCACTTGGGGAGTTAATGACAGATGCATGTGAGCGAGATCACCAGAAAGTGCCTTGGCCCTGGCACCAGCAGATAGCGCGTGGCTGATGCCAGCCTGACTCACTGGGTGGCGACCTGGCAGCTTCCTCTCACCTCCTCTCTTGTTTAGGCCTGGGCTCGGCTCCGGGAGGATAAATAGAGCCTTCCTGCCCGCGGCCCAGCAGCTCCCGCGGCCCCTGCGGGATCCCGGGGGCAGGCGTGATGGATGGCGCCGCCTTCACCCGCCTTCCCTCCGCACACAGAGGACAGAGGAGCCGGCTGGTGTGGAACTGAGGGCCGCGTGGTTATTTCAGTGTCACAGCCCGAACGGGGCCAGGCCCAGAGCTGGGCCGGCTTTGCATTTGCTGGGATAGAGGAGTAACAGTCACTCCTGCCCGCGGGCCTTGCTCTGCTTTGTTTCTGCTCATCCTTCCTCTGCTCATCCCACGGGTGTGATGCAGGCGCCGTGGCCTGCTTTTGTCCAACTCAGAGGCTGCCCTCCTTTCGGGACCCGGCCTCCTACCCTGCTTCCAGGATGCCATGTGGTCAGGGCTGTTGGGGGTACACTCATTGGGGGGCCTGTGCAGGGGGCTGCGGCAGCACCCGTGAGGAAGGGCTTCCTGCGGAAGCTGCCTTCTACCTGTGAGCCTGGGGACGCCTCCGTGGGGAGCTGACAGGTGGGCCGTCCAGGTGGGTGTGTTAGCTCCACGCCCTCTTCCTAAAGTGAGTGCTGATGCGTTTGAGGATCGACACACTGGTTTTCATTTCATCTTTTGAAGGCCACACACTTTGAAGGCTGATGTTCTAAGACAGTGGTTCTCAACCTTGGCTGCACAGTAGAATCACCTGGGAATCTTTTTAAAATCCTGATTTCTGGGCCTCATCCTCCAGAAATTCTGTTTCTTTGTTATGGGGTGGGGCCACAACATTAGTAACAAAGAAACAGAATTTCCGGAGGATGAGGCCCAGAAATCAGGATTTTAAGAAGATTCCCAGGTGATTCTAATGTGCAGCCACTGTTGAGAACCACTGGTCTAAGAGAAAAACGACATTTTAAACTTTAAAAGAAAACATGCTTGTCAGAGAACTGGATGCCAAGCAGTATCTCAGGAAGGGTTGGGATCATGGTATTTCTCCAAAATAGTCCTTAATATTTTTAACAACTTTCCTCCCAGGCAACGGAAAATGTTCTAAAACATGTTAGGAAGCGTGAATAACGGATTGAACAGTTTAGAAATATTGCAAGGAAAAGCACCCATAATTCTTCAGTGCTAATGGACGTGGAGTCCAGGCCTCCAGAACCCTAGGACGCCACAATGAGGAAGTAAAGCCTGATGCGTTGGGTCCCGCTTTAGAATTAGGGTGTCTGGGCCCCAGTCCTGGCCCTCCCAGGGTAAGCTGTGTGGCAGCAAGTAGCTCACTCCATCTCGCCGTCTCTCCCTAGAAAAGGAGTGGGAGTGATGACGTCCAGCGGGCCCGCCGAGGCCCGTTCGTGGGCCACGCTCACCCACCCGCATGGGCGCTGCTGGGTTTCCTGTTCTGGAAGCTCGGGCTCAGTGTGGCGGACGGGACCTCACGCTGTACATTTCTCTCTTGCCTTTCAGGTAATGAACCAAGAAGATCATGTCTGAAGTACAAGGAACGGTAGAGTTTTCTGTGGAGCTCCATAAGTTCTATAACGTGGATCTGTTCCACAGAGGGTGAGTGTTTCTCTGCCTGGAGTGTGTGTGTGGGGGGCGTTTCTTTCTCCTGGCGGGGTTGGGGGGTGGAGGTAGGGAGGACAGATTCCAGGACATTCTGGATTGATGAAGAAATCATTTTCATCATTTTCCCTGCCAAGTGGGAAGCCCAAGCCTTTAGTGTCCTTAAAGATAAACCGTATACTGAAAGACTGGACAATGCTACTTTCTCCCACCCCCTCTCTCCGTAGTCGATCTGTCCATGGAAGCTGCCAGTCCGTGTTAAAGGAAAGTGAACTCACTGGAAATGAAGCGTGTGCAGTTCTGATAAAAAGGTGTTTGTGGGCTCAATGCTGATAGGGTGTCTTTCCAAACCACGAGTCGTAAAACCTGGACCCAGCTCTCTCAAAAGTAGAGAATTTACACCATCCTCCTTAAAGACATAATGAAAATATAGTTGCTCTCAGTGTTTGAGGGGGTACTCTGAATTTGGCATTTTCCGTGCAAGATCTCAATACATCTTCATCGTAGACTTATACCTCTTAAGGTCATTGCACATAATAGCAAGGATGCAGCGTGGTTAGGGGCAGCATCTAAACACAGACCCGTCTGTGTCCTCGCCTTCATTCCTTCCCCATGACACAGGCCAGGAAACGTTCGTTTACAGAAACCGAACGTGTGAGGTGCGCACATTAACAGCAGAACAGTAGCACCTGTCGGCTTGTTGCTGTGTAACAAATGACTCTAAACCTGGCGGCTAAGATACTAGCTTTGGGTTGAGATCGGGATCCCAAGCGTAGGCGAATCGAGTTGCCTAGGGCGTAGCAGGACGTTCTGGTGACTTGTCCAAAACACCAGGAGACCTCGGTGCCATCGGCAAAGGAGGTCGAAAGGAGAGGACAGAAATAGAATGTACTCAGCAAGCCTGGGTGCTGTTCTTCCAGATCTATGCGGACTGGGGAGGCATCTCGTGTAGCCAGGCTCAGCCCTGGAATCTAGCATCGAATTAGGCTCAATGAAAGCCAGAATCACACACAACATATTCATAACTCATTTATGCCTGTTTGTGGCACGGTGAGCCGTTGTTGCTGGTGTTGTTAGCTGAATGGGAACTAAGATCTGTCCTTGAAAATGAATTCGCATTTCATGTTCTATCTTAACTCCGACGAGGCTCTCCGTGGAACCGATTTCCCTTCTGAGTGAAGTTTTCCAGCCGAGGTTCAGATCCGTCTTCTGTCTACAGCGTCACTGAGAGGATTGTCCGCTCAGCGGCGTTCGATGTTTTTGTGGATAAACTGGGCCCTGTCCACAGAGCACTGTGCAAAGGCCCTCCGGTCGGTGCGATCAGATCTGATGCGAAAGGTCAGATGCTCAGAAACGTGAGGATCGAACCCTCGTTGAAGCAACGCCCCTGCCTTTCCCACCAGAGGGAAGAGGGTTGAGTTTAGGTCAGGTGATTCCCGGAAGAAGCTGCCATCCGTGTGTATGCCCCGACGTTTGCCATCGCTGGCGGGACAGCCAGCTCCCTGTGAAATTCGCTAAGCAGCCCTGACCAGCCTTAATAGACTCTGAAATACGATTACCTTGGCTCGCCAGAGATCAATTAATTGATTCGTCTGCTGTCAGAAATGATCTTTTTATTCTTCCACTTCTTTTAGTGAAGTCTGCTGGTCCTTGTGCCCTCCCCACTTGGGAGAGGGAGTGGGGATTAGACGTGGTTGAGGGCCACGCCGGGTGGTCAGCTTGCAGAGGGGGAGGATGGGGAGGTCAGCGAGCAGGTGGACTAAAGGCCAGCAGTGCCAGGGCCTTGACGGGGACCTGTTTGCAAAGACAGTGCCCCCCCTCCCCCCATGGATAGCCAGTGGGTAGCACTTTCACACCGGAAGCCATTGGTCTAACGCTCGATTTCAGTCACATGACTTCCCACTGGTGCAAACCAAGCCGTTCTCTCTATTTTTGCTGAAATCAGTGTGACAGGACTGTTACCACCTGCCTTTCCATCCGGCACGAGGGGTAGAGGTCGGCTCAGTGATTTCTAAGAGGCATTCTTTCTCTCTGATTCCATAATTCTTATTTTCATAAATACATGCTCTTCCCTCCCCCTGGCACAGCATTCCCATCCTGCCTCTGGCCAGCGAGCAGGGGTGGGTCACCCCGGTGCCTCTGGAGATGGCACTCGGGATGATATTCTAGCGAATCCACTTCCTGTTCACAGTGACCCTGTCCCTGTGGAGTCTGGGACTCCGTGAGCCCACGCTGCCTTAGGCCTTTGATCCTCGATTGAGTCCCGGCTGTGGGTGACTCAGCAGGTCTGCAAGGACAGGAGCCTGCAGGGGCTGACTCTATTCCTGCAGAGAGTAAATGCTGAGCCCAGAGCCACTCACAGGCCCGATTACCTCATGGCTGAGTCAATGCAGAGCGAATGCCCGGGTGGTGTGGGCCCCTCCAGCTCACACTCCCAGTGGCCCTCCCTCGGGCCTCCTGAGGACACTGATGGCCTGCATGGGGCAGCCCGTAGATCTGTCCCCAAGGGACAGAGATCTTGGTTCGGGTTCCATTTCTCTGTCACTGGCCAGGTGCCCGGGGCAAGTGACTCACCTCAGGTCTCAGCTTCTTCACTTGCTATGCAGGGGCTTTCTTAGAAGTCACATGGTCGCTCAGTAGTTGAGCGTCGACCTATGAACCAGGAGGTCATGGTTCGATTCTCGGTCAGGGCACATGCCCAGGTTACAGGCTCGATCCCCAGTGAGGGGCATGTGGGAGGCAGCCAATCAATGATTCTCATCATTGATGCTTCTATCTCTCTCTTCCTCTCTGAAATAAATTTTAAAAATATTTTTAAAAAGAAGTCCTGGGGTAAATTGGGGTCCAGGATTTGCACTGCTGCCCAGGTGCCCTGAGCCTGCGACAGCCTGTCTGTCCTCCGACCACCTCTAGGACTCTGGGCTAAACAGCCTGGCTGGCTGTTCCTTCCTGGATTTAGCAGGTGCTTTCACTCAGCACCACTAACCCGGACCTCATGGACACATGCTCCTGCTCCTGGCCTCCTGGGGAGTTCTGCTTTCTGCTTTTCTTTTATTTCCGAGCTTCATGAGATATGTGACTTTGTGGGAGTGTAAGGTGCACAGCGTGATGATCTGATGGGCATCTGTGTTGTGAAAGGATGATGCTAAGGTTGCTTATCACACCCATTGCCTCACCTGGTCACCACGGGGGTGTCGGTGTGGTGGGCGCGTTTACGGTCTGTTCTCTCCGCTGTGTGACAGCTTTCTCGCTGCAGTTCAGTCCGACAGACTCGTCGTGTGTGGGCCTGTGGAAAGCTCAGGTCCACCGCCGCTGTCCCCGTCCCCGTGGCGCAGCGGGCTGTCGAGCCGTGAGAAGCGGTGTGCGGTAGAGGCGGTGTGAGGTAGAGGCGGTATGAGGTAGAGGCGGTATGAGGTAGAGGCGGTGTGCGGTAGAGGCGGTGTGAGGTAGAGGCGGTGTGAGGTAGAGGCGGTGTGCGGTAGAGGCGGTGTGAGGTAGAGGCGGTGTGCGGTAGAGGCGGTGTGCCGGGTTTATAGCCAGGAAAGAAGGAGCCCAATGCTGTTTTCACGCCCGGTGCTGAGAAAACAGATTGAACACTGAGGATTAGGCATAGGCATGGAGGCCAAGACCGGATTCCTGCCGGCCTCTCGCAGCCCCAGCTGAGATCAGTCTTTAATCTCAAGTGCTTAGAGGCAGCGAGATGGGGAGAGGGAGGGAGAGGAGATGGATGGAGCCCTGGTCCACTGGCTGCGCTGTGTATACTGAACACGAGGCGTATGCAGCTAGAAGCCTGGGCGTGGTTCTGGATATTTAAGGCAGAGTAACCCTGCCTTTGATTAAAATGCATCCCATTCAGCATCTCAGGCTATAACCACCCAGATTGGCAATGCCCCTATATCGACACTCACTTCCTGGTCCCCTGGTTCCATGGGGGTAAATATCGTCCCCGTGCCACTGGCGTCCTGGTTTATGTAATCAGCTCAGCCTCCTCAGGACTTTGGGACTTGCCAGGTAGGCATTCGGCTGCACGTGGCCATCTTACTGTCCAAAAGGCCTCGCCTCTACTCAGTATATCCACTCTGACCGTCTCTCCCCCCTCCCCCCCCCCTTGCAAACCTCTCCGTCACAACCCATCTCGGTTCCTGGCAACTCCATCCGGTTGTCGAGGACAGCATCTTAGGGCGACTCTTGACCTCTCTCGGTCTCACACCTCATATCCGAGTCAGCCGGGAACCCTAGCAAAACCTCCGCCTATGACGTGCCTCACCTGCTAACGCCTGGTGTGAGCACCACCGCGCCCGCCTGGATTTGCACAGGACCTTCCCTCTCCGATCCCCCGACGCTGCCCGAGCCCACCCTGGTCCCCTCACACCACAGAAGCCAAACGGCGCTCCGAGTCCTCTCCAGTGTCTCCTGGTGGGACCAGAGTTGAGGCTTCATTTGCTGAGTGTTCAGGTGAGTCACGGCTGCCGGCTGTCCTAGGTTTGACACCTGGAGGGGACTCGGAGCCCCACACTGCAGCAGAGGGGCACACGTGCCCAGCCTCCCTCGGCACCAGGACTGGTCACTGCGGCCAAGAAGTTCGAGTTGGGCAGGTCCTACTCAAGCTCACTGTGGACTAACACCCTCGTCCAATCATGTGGCCTCCGGAAGCACTGTGGGAACCCCCTCCGTTCTTGGTGAGGTTGTCAGCGGTTTGGGGGAGGGGCCCAGGTGTGGGTCTTGGAAAGGAAGTTGCCTGGCCGGATTCAAGGTCAGCTTATAAGAACTGGTGACCTTTATTCTTACTCGATGTTGCCATTGGTATTGTTAATAATGACAAAGTACCTGGAAGTAACAATAAGATAACTTATCCACCTATTGGTAGGAGGTGTTTTCTCATCACTTAATATCAATACATATTCAATAATTAAGTTGTATCCCAATGTATTGGTGCAGCGTATTGGACGATGAGCCCAAAGTAGCCGTCTTGGGTCCTGGCAGGGGCTGTGCAAACAATCTGGGTGGCCTTGGGGTCTTCCCCGCCCTTTCTGTGTCCACAACGCCTCTCAGCAACACCTGGGTGAGCCAACACGATGATAAAAAGCACAACGCAGCTTTTGGCTTGGTTTTCGTTAATCCTCACTTGAGGATATTCTTCCCATTGCTTTTCAGAGAGAGTGGAAAGAAGAGAGGGAAGGAGGGAGTGGGAGAGAGAGAAACATGGATGTGAGAAAGACACGACTGGTTGCCTCCTGCAGCTGCCCCAACTGGGGGCGGGCAGCGAACACGCAACCCAGGTAGGTGCCCTTGACTGGGAATCTAACCCACGACCCTTTGGTGCCATGTTCAACCACTAAGCCACCGACCAGGGCACAAAAGTAGCTTTAAAAGGACCTGGTGCTTACACGATCTTATGCCCTGCACCGGGGCTTCCACGTGCCATAGCCCATCTGTCCATCATATCCAATCAACGATTGATTTTCCAGGTGAGAAAGCCTGTGCTCAGAGGCTATGATTGTTCCAGGTCACGCGCCTGGCGATCCAGTGTCCTACCCGGGCCTGTGGGGGTGAACACCGCAGCGCGGGTGCCACCGAGTCCTCACGCCCTGCCTTCATCCCTCTGCGTGAAGACCCGGAGCCGGGTTGCTTCCCCAGCCTGTCCTGCGCTGACTGCTGGGCGGGCGGCGGGGTCGGTCTTGCCAATTAGAAATGTTCTCTCTGCCGAGACCCCGGTGGTGGGGCGACGCTGCGCAGCAGATTTTCCGGTCTGAGGTTCCCAATCGCCCGTGTCCCCGCAAGCTGTGCAGAAGCAGGACTAGTCAAGCTAATCAAGCCACGCGCAGGCAAGGAAAGTCAACGTTCCCTCAAATCAAAGGGGACGCGCTGCCACCTGTGGGCATCGCCGGTGCCAGGGGCTTGGGTGGAGTCCCGCTGGGTATCGGCTCTCGGAAGGAGCCTTCCTTTCACCAGCAAACGGAGCTTCCCCGGGCGACAGAGACTGGCAGCCGCACCTTTTCCGAGAGCAGCGTGGCCACCTGGCCACCCACGTGGATCAGAAAGCCCAGCTGGGCTGCCTCGTTGGGCAGGAACCACCAGATAATGCGAACAATGGCAGCTGAGTGAGACACGACAAAATATTGTGTTGTTTGCTAGCAAGGCCAATAATTTAACAAAATGTCGTGCGGTCTTGTCATGGTGGCTGATACTGTCAGAACAGACCTCTCAGTGGATGAGTGTAGAGTGAAAATATAGCGGCCACTTCCTGGGCCTGCCTTTTCTGATTCCTTTTGAACACAAGGCCGCCCTTACTTGTCAGGACGTCCCCGGCTCCCCTACCAGGCCTGAGAGTTTCACCCAGGATCAGCTGCTCTTCCACCGGCAAGCTGGTCACATGGCCAGCTGCAGAGTCCACACCCCTGACCACTGTGCAGTACTGCCTCAGGAGACTCAAAGAAAGAGAATGTTCCCCACCAGGGGGCGCCCCCATATCAGAGAGCAGCAGTCGCCAACTGCTGGCCTGCGGACCACTGGTGGTCTGTGAGGTCCGGAAGGTTGGCGGCCGCTGTCATAGACTGTAGAGAGCCTTAGTGCTGGGTCTGCCATTCTGTCTTGTCAGGTACGGTGTGCTGTAGGCATCTCTGCATCTCGTCCACCCAGACCCTCGTCCCGTCCCAGCTTCCCCGCCTGGGAGGCCGGAGGAAAGATCGGGATCGTGGATGGGGGATGATGTCTAGATCCCACATGTCCTAGGAAATAGTAACGATATTTTATCTCTAATGAAATATGGGGGTTGAGCATCATGCCAGTGGCACTGCCCCGCCTGCCTGTCCGCCTGTCCTGACAGTTCTGTGCGCTGACACAGGAATTGTCACCCGTGGAGAAAGGGGCTCAGCCAAGGAACGCTGTTAGGTTTGCCGACTTGGCTCCCGGACTTCAGAGTCTTGGTTTTGACCTTTTCACAAACACAGTGATGTATATCTGAGGTCCTGGCCAGTGTCCCTGGGTCAGACTGGCTGTTTCATAATAGACTGGATGGGCAAGTGATTACCACTAAATGTCACAGAGCCCTGTTCCCATCAGAGAATAGATTCCTGCTTCTGTTGGCTTTATAAGAACTGCATGTGGATTCCCAGGCGCTCACAAAGGGGCCATGTGGGGGTTGGAAGGCATAACCTGGGGTTTGTTAAGGGAGCCGCTGTTCCTGGGACATGTTCATTCATTCATTCATAAATTCATTCATTCATTCCTCTGGCACTGGGTGAGTGCCAGCCATGCGCCAGCTCCGTGTTAGTTGCTGGAAACAGAGGTGAACAGGGCACGGCTGTCTCCTCCAGCAGCTGTCATGATGGAGATTTCTAGAATCAACTGAGCACGTGTTTATTAGATTTTTTTTCTTTTCTCTCCTTCGTGTGGTGGTAAGAGCTGTAAGGGACACAAAGGAAGGAAAAGGTAGCATTTGTATTCTCTGTGGTTTTGAACGTATTTCTTCCAGCATATTTCTGTAGATGCATCTGAGGTTCCAAATGATGAATCACTCCCTGAAGGAAGGCTCCTTGGCCTCCAGTGTTTTAAGGAGGAAGAATTGAGACGGTGCTTTGGAATTGGTTGGAAAAGGGTTTGGTATCTGTCACCAAATGGGACTCCGGAAGGTGTGGCAACAAGACTCTCTGGAGTGAGTGCCCGGTGCCCTTGGCCACCTCCCTGCTGTGGATAAGTGGTTGCATATCAACCATGGCCTGCCCGCCCGGCGTGGCTCAGTGGTTGAGCGTCGACCTATGAGCCAGGAGGTCACGGTTCAATTCCCGGGCAGGGCACATGTCTGGGTTGTGGGCTCAATCCCCGGTGTGAGTTGTGCAGGAGGCAGCCGATCAGTGCTTCTCTCTCAACATTGATGTTTCTCTCTCTCCCTCTCCCTTCCTCTTGAAATCAATAAAACACAAAATTGGAAAACAACAATGGCCTGATGTTTTGCTGGGTTGGTGCTTCAGATGCTGCTGGCTTTCACGGGGGGTTACGGAGGACCGAACGAGACCGCATCTGCGAGGGCTCCTGAGACAGGCCTGGGCGCAGTGGCGCTTCGTAAGTCTCGAGCGTGGCTGTAACTGCGCCGAGGCCCGTCGGATAGGAGGGGGTGCAGGCTTCTGGCCACGGGCGCCCCCTTTCTGTCCTGAGAAGACGCTGTTGGGAGGTCACGGCTGGTGGCGATGTGGGGTCGGGGGCAGTGGTGGGATCCCTGTCTCTTCCTGTCACGATGCAGCTGTGGACATGCATCGGTCTTTTACTAAAGAAATACTGCACGTGTCGTTCTGCGTTTGTAGAAACGAGGGTTTGACAGGTATTGGCCCCGGAATTCCACCTGCATGTCTCATTCTGTGGGCCCAGTGCTTCAGGGTTTGCGCTGTGGCCACAGGGGCCACTGCTCACTGTCTTGCGAGGGCTGTTACTGCTCCTGTGTGGGCACTGATTTAGGGGCCAATGTTTAAAATGCTGAAGTGGGCCCGGCCACTGTGACTGAGTGGTTGAGCGTTGACCTATGAACCAGGAGGTCACGGTTCGATTCCCAGTCAGAGCACATGCCCGGGTTGCGAGCTCACTCCCCAGTAGGGGGTGTGGAGGAGGTAGCTGATCCATGATTCTCTCTCAAGACCCTTCAGTCCGCAGGCTGATGCTCTGTCCACTGAGCCAAACTGGCTAGGGCCAGACAACATGTTTTTAATTCTCAGGTGAACTCAGCTTCCTGTCTCCAGTTGTCCCGCCCCCTCCCTGTCCCACTGTTCATGCTACGGAGCGAGCCTCCCTGGGGCCGGATGACAACACGTGTCTGGAAACATCCCTGGTTCCCTAGACCCTTAGGATTGAGTCTAGGTGTTTCTAGAAGAAGCCAGCAATAAGGAGTGTGATCTTCTGCTCTTTCTTAGGTATTACCAGGTCCGCGTGGCCTTGAAGGTGTCCTCAAGGATCCCCCACAGACTGAGCGCCTCCGTCGTTGGGCAGACAGGTGAGCAGGGGGTGGAGGGGGCTCGTCCCCACTGGCAGGCCTTCGTGGGTCACTGCGGGCACGGTGTGCCCTCAGGGGTCTGCAGCTCCCCGTCGCTGTTGCCTGTGCTGTGCCCCCTCCCATTCTGTTTCTGCCGGAAGGAGGTCGGTGATCTTGACTGAGAGGAGGGGTGTGAGCCCTGCTTCCCGCTGAGATCTCGGCAGAAGGAGGAGCCTCTGAGATGTGTCCACTGACACGTCTGATGCCAGCATGGGCCCCCTGCACCCCTTCGTGGGCCCCTCTGTGTGTTCAGCCATGGGAGGGCGCTTGGGCAGTCACCCAGGCCTGCGATCATCCAGACTGATGTTCTGCTGCCTGCATGCATTTCTGAGTTAAAAGAAAGAAAAATACAGACGAGTAGACAATGAGGTGTGATGGATTGACAGAGAGCCAGAAAGAATCCAAACACGTGGGGTCCGCTGACGTCTGTGACACTCATTCATGCAGCGGTCTTGTGGGAACATAGGAAACGCTGGCTGTGGTGTCTAGAGAGGCAGAGTCCAGCGTGGCTGTGGTGGCTCAGTGGTTGAGCATCGACCCATGAGCCAGGAGGTCGCCCGTTTGGTTCCCTGTTGGGGCACATGCCCGGGTTGTGGGCTCCATCCCTAGTAGAGGGCGTGCAGAAGGCAGCCAATCGATGTTTCTCTCTCATCAGTGTTTCTGTCTATCCCTGTCCCTTTCTTGCTCAAAAAATCAATAAAAACATATTTTAAAAAGAGAGAAGCAGAATTCAGTGGTGTGAGGGCCCCAGGCTCCGGGCTTTCCAGGTTCTTGCTGTTCCTTCCATGTTGAATGCCTAGCCCTTCCTTCCTCACCTTTCGCCCCTCGAGTCCCCTGGACCAGCAGAAGGGATATACGCAGGTTCTGCAGGGCAGTCCCAGCCCTGTCCAGTGGCTAACTTCTGACTAATTCTGAGCTCCTCCTCACTACCTGCTTGCACCCAGCACCGCCCCTCCCAGGCCACCCACCTCAGTGCCACTGTGGGTCATGGGCACCTGGGCCCACTGGGGAGGATCGCCCTGGGCTCCGGGGAGCACTTTGCCCAAGACAGGAGCTTGTTCCTGTCCCTGCCTGCACCCCCAACTCCCGCTGTGACCCAGTGGTTGTTATACAGGAATATGGGAGCCCAGTGGGCCCAGGTGCCTGGCCTGGCTGAGAGCAGGGGTGCCTCTGCTCTAGGCCTTCATCCCAGGGGCTCTGAGAGCTGAGGGCTGCAACTGCTCCCTCTGCGAGCCCTGCCTGGAGCCTGCTTTTCTCATTGGTCTGCCTGGTCTGCTGTGGCCCCTGCCAAGCTTCAACGTTAATAACTTGTAGGAACAGTTGTTGTCACCTCCAGAGCAGCAGCTGACACCCCATCCCCCAAGTTAAGGCACCATATTTCCATTTCCTTTGGTTTTTCTTTTTCTTTTATATATTTACTGATTGATTGATTTCAGAGAGGAAAGGAGAGGGAGAGAGAGATAGAAACATCAGTGATGAGAGAGAATCATTGATCAGCTGCCTACTGCATGCCCCACACAGGGGATGGAGCCCACAACCCAGGCATGTGACCTGACCGGGAATCGAACCTGGGACCCTTTAGTCAGTCTACAAGCCGATGCTCTGTTGACTGAGCCACACCAGCTAGGGCCAGTTTTTATTTTTGTAGCATTTATGACATCACAAGGAATGACTACTTGAGGGTTTCTTTTTTCCCCTCTTTTGTATAAATTCTATGAGGAAAGAAACTCTATAGCTTAACCTCGTGGTATCCCGCCTTCGCCCTCAGGGCTGATGTGCTGAGTCAGTGGCGGATGGAGGGATGAGTGACAGGAACTTCACTTCCTGACCTCATTAAAGGACCCTCTGCCTTCCCCCGAAATCCTGCCGAAAGCTGCCCGTGAGCACACGTCCCAGGATTGATCACTTCAGTCTAGAGGAGAAGGTCGGGTCGATATTGTTCAAGTTTCACGCACAATAGAAGTCACGAGTCCTGAAAATGAATGTTCTTGTTTTTCTTCCCTGGAGTAAATGTGCTTTCCTCCGCCGCCTGCGATAGGTGTTATTGGCTGGCCCATATTTCCCCGATCGGCAGCCATGACGCTAATGAATGGCCATTGATCGGGCAGGGAGTGAGCGCACCTGGCCCAGGGCTGGGAGGAGGCGTCTTGGTTTTATTTTCCATCTCAGAGAGTTTATAAATGAGAAGAGAGACAGAGGGAGGTGTTTGGGGGCCACTGCTGCAGCTTGGTGGCTAATTTTGTTTCATCAGGTGTATAACTAGCCTTCTCTACAGTTTTTATGATCTTTTTGTAATGGTCAAGTAAAAAGGAAATTATTATTTTTAAAATATATTTTTATTGATCTCAGAGAGGAAGGGAGAGAGAGATAGAAACATCAATGAGAGAGTATCATAGATGGGCTGCCTCCTGCACACCCTACATGGGATCAAGCCCGCAACCTGGGCATATGCCCCGACTGGGAATCGAACCGTGACCTCCTGGTTCATAGTTCAATGCTCAACCACTGAGCTATGCCAGCAGGGCAAAAGGAAATTATTTTTTTAAAGATTTTAATAATCTATTTTTTAATCCTCACCAGAGGATATATTTTTCATTGATTTGTAGAGAGAGTGGGAGGGAGTGAGGGGGCAGAGAGAGAGAAACCACTGCCCTGACCTTTCCTTGCCGCCCCCCAACACTGGCCAGTTAGCCTGGCCCTGCCCCCAAGACCACACACTCCCTACAGTCCTGGAATCAAGGACTTAGGCTGGCCCAGCAGGTGGCCTACAGGATGCTGCTCTCTGATTGGTTCCTGGGCTAACCAATTTGGATGGTCCTGCCCCCTTTCTTGACCCAGGTAATGGGGAAGGTGAGGCATAGAGGAGAGGGTGCAGGGAGAACACCCTGTGAATGGGGAGCGCCACTCAGTCATAGCTGATCTCTCTGGGCTGGTCAGGTGTGGCTCAGCCCCGGCAGTGGGACTGGCCCTCGGAGGGACCTTCTGTCCCTGCAGAGACAGACGCAGAGTGATCACGGGCTCGCCTGCTCAGCAGTGACTCTCAGGGCTCCGTACTAGTTCTATAGCGGTCCCCGCTGGCCCCTACCTTCCATGGTCTCCATGGGCTGGAGGAACCCACAGGGGACACAGCTGGGAGGGGCGCTGCCCCTCTTACAAACATCAGATGAGTGCTGGCGGCTCCGGGCAGCAGATGGCCCAGCAGATGGTGCAGGAATGCGGTCACATAGCAGGGTCTCCTGATGGCCTGAGAACAGTGGGTTTCAGGAGAGAAGATGGAGCCTGGGTTCTGCTCTTTGCAGAAAGCCCGCCCTGAGTTCAGGTGGGTTCAGTGCAGGCTGTCAGCACAGGACGGGGGAGAGGGTGGGGCTGGTCCCCGCAGGGACGCAGGGGAAACAGAGGCAGCCGCAGCAGGCTGGCTGCCCTAGCCCAGACCCAGCTCCCTCCCACTGTGCTCATCCAACGCCTCTGCCAAATCCTCGGGCCTGGGTGCGGGGAGCTTGGTCAGCTGTGCGTTCTGTAAACTGCCCAGCCTGGCACTGTGGGGGCCGGGTGTGTGGTAAGCCCTCACCGGGACTGGGGCTTCCCCACGGTCACGTAGGGCCAGCTTAGCCACCGTCACAGTCACATACCTTGTATTACAGTGTATTGTTCTGGTTGTTCTATTTCATTCTCAGCTTGCTGGGCCTGGCTGATGAGGTCACATTTGCATAGATGTGTACACACAGGAGAAGCGGTATATACAGGCATGGACAACAGGGGGTTGGCAGGTGCAGGGTGATGTGCTTTTCAGTCAGTAAAGCCGTTGTCATCATCACAACCTGCGTGTCTTTTTCCACGCGGACAACTGCGGACCCACTTGTGCCCACCCCTGTGTAGGACCAGGTACTATCTGAGGTTACAGCATCATGGGGGGGTCATACTCCCCACAGATGAGGGGGGGATGTACCCTCCATGGCGAATTCCTTGCTGGGCCAGGTGTATGCACGGCCTCGAGGGCCCACACCTTGGACCCCAGGTCATAACCCCTTAGTGACACTCACATATCCACCGTCGTCTTCAGATCTCAGCCTGTGCCTGGTGAGCTGGCCCAGGTCACAGTGTGGCGCAGCTGACCTCTGGTTCATGACCCCGTGGGCCTGTGTGAGCCCCCAGAGTCATCCCTGGGGCCCCAGCTTTTGTGGAGGCACCCTTATTTCTGGAAATAGGTGTCCTTGCCTGATAGGCCCACTCCTTACTGGGGGGAGTCTGTCCCAGTCCACAGGGCTCCTCACCTTCCACACTCCAGACAAAGTCACCAGGCTCCTGGGCCCTTCTCCCCCGGGAGCCCCCTTTCTCCTGTGCAGTGTCCCTGCTGGTGGTGACAGGGTCTCCCGGGAGGGTGGCAGCCTCCATGGCATCACAGAAGGTCAGTCTCGGTACCCGCAGTGAGTGCCCCGGCCCGACCTTCAGAAAACACTTCGGTGCTAGGAAAAGTCACGCCGCTCATTTCCTGGAAAAACCCAGTGAGCGTCTCCTGCAAGTGGCTTTCTCTTCTGCCCGTTCCCCGGAAACCTCACCAGCTGGGCCCCCAGGTGGCCCTGTGGTGCCTGATTCTAGAAATGCCCAGGAAGCGATCTTCCTGGGACCACGTTCGGCTCGCCAGGGAGTCTGCTTGGTGGGGAGACTTGCACAGTTCAACACACACTCCTACCCTCATCTCAAGGAGCCGCACGTCCATCATGAGAAGTGGGCGGCTAGGACTCTCCCTCATTTACGCTCCGATTCCGTGGCCTGACCAAGGCCACACGGCAGGAAGGGGAACGGGGTGGGGCCTTGCTCTCCTCTGGCCAGACCGACACCGAGGAGGCTGCGGTCTGAGGGTCCAGGGGCTCACAGCCCCTCGCCCTCCTGTTTTGCAGAGGCCGGCAGCCTGCACGCGGCCTGCATCCGCGAGAGCACCGTGCACAGCCGCGTCTTCCAGATCCTGTACAGGAACGAGGAGGTGCCCATAGGCGACGCCGCCGTCTTCCGGGCTCACCTGCTGCTGGACGGTGAACGGGTGAGTCGTGGATCCGCCAGCGGCCAGGCGCCGCGGTTCCTTCCCAGAGGCGCAGTTCCCGCCAGGGCCTGCTGTGTCCGCCAAGGGGTGAGTGGTCCGGGGAGCGGGAGGTCTGCTCTGGCGTCTCCCAGATGCGGGATTTTCCGACCTCCCTGCTCTTACTCACTTAGGTGCTCATTCTTTCACTCCTACACTCGCTCGTTTCCCAGCCCAAGATGCTGCTGTTGACTGACGTGCGGACTGTCATCCACCTTTCCTTTGCCCGTTTGTCCTGTTAGGCCACCTGTGGGTGAGCCCGTGGGAGTCTGTGAGCATCTGCTTCATGCAGGGCTCTGGGCCCAGCCTCTGGATGAGGGGCGACCCCGACGAAGGCCGCAGGTCCTCTGCCCTCAAGTGACGGAGAGCTCATCAGGGAAATGGTCCGTGTACCAGCACCTGATCGACGAGTCCACTGCACTAGCTGTGTGTGCAAGTGAGCACCAGTGAGCCAGGACGGGGAGCTGGGCTCTGGGGGGCGCCAGTGGTTCTTGGGAGCTGGCTTTGGGGTGCACACGCCGAGCGTTCCTCAGGCTAAGAGGAAGAGGAAGGGTGTCTCTGGGGGGGAACGGCACGAGTAAACGCTCAGAGGCCCGGGAGCCTCGTTCTATTTGCCGGAATCGTGGTTGCAGATGCCCTGTTCAGCCCTGGCCGGACTGGCTCAGTGGCTAGAGCATCAGCCCGTGGACTGAAGGGTTCTGGGTTTGAGTGTGTTCAAGGGCAGGTACCTCAGTTGCAGGCTGGTGTGCAGGAGACAACCAGTTGATGTGTCCCTCTCACATCAATGTTTCTCTCTCTGTCTCTACCCCTCCCTTCCACTCTCTCTAAAAATCAATGGAAAAACATCCTCGGGTGAGGATTGACAACAACAACACAATCACACAGATGCCCTGTGCGTCAGATTAGCCCACGTCAGAGGAGTACGTGGAGTAGAACCCACTGCTGCCACTCCCCAGGCCCCTCAGGCCCCATCGCTGCATTCCTGTGGAGCACTTCCTGTTGGGCGTCCTTGAATGAGGGGAGTGTACTCCCAGCTGGAACGCAGACCAAGAGGCCTGCCTGCTACTCACAGTCCCAGGTGCTGTGCCTGAGGCCACCTGGCATCCCCGCTTCCCGTGGCTTTCTGTCCCCACCTTCATGGCCCAGGTGGTGACCACGTTCCCCTGCGTGGCTAGAAGTGAAACGCTCCCACTCATTCCTCGCTCACGAATCCACCTCCCATCCAGGATGTATGCCCCGTTAAGCATACCCACGCCGGGCCCAGGATAAAATGGCGAGGGAGAGACCATCCCTGGTGCCTTGGGGCTTATATTTTCATGTTCGATCCACACGCCCCAATGTAATCAAATAAATAAACCAGGTAAGTTCGTCCCTGAGCCTTCCCACGCATGTGCTCTGCTCGCCCGGCTGTGACATGCGTTTATAAGGGTGTCAACAGGAGGCGTTTGCTCCTGATGGATCCTGTGAGCTCCATGGGACCCACCCAAAGTGGGAGCGAGCGCCTGGCGGGCCACTGGGAAAGGTTCGCTGCTGCCTTGGGAGAGACCCTCCGATGATGGACCATGGGACGGCCCAGAGCTCAGCTCAGCACAAGTTCCCGCAGGACAAGTGACAGGCTGGGGCGGGGAGGGGGGGGGGCGGCTCCCTGGGAGCCAGCACCCGAGCGGACACCCCAGTGCTGAGGTGGAGCCTGGGCACCCAGAGCTCTGGGGGACATGCCCTGCGGGCGGGAGGAGGGTGGGGTTCCAGGAAGAGCGGCAGGGCCACAGTGACCTGCACGGTGAGTGCGGGGAAGCGAGCAGGAGGTGGTGTTCGAGAGGCCAGTGGGCCAGACGTCCCGTGCTCTGAAGGCCACGGGGAGGGAGGCAGCGGAGGCCTCCGCTCTTGCCAGAGGGCGCAGTGGCATGTTTTTAGCTTGTCTGTGCCCATGGGCTGTGCATATATGCATATAAGTTCTCTAGTTAGTCTCCCCCCCCCCCCCCCCCCCCCGGCCTCTGTCAGTCTGTGCCATGCATCCGTATCTCTGGGCCTGTTTTGCTCGTCAGTTGATTTTCTTCATTAGATTCCACCTGTGAGGGAGATCATGTGATACTGGTCGTTCCCTGACTGGCTTGTTTCGCTTAGCGCAATGGTTTGTCCACGTTAGATTAGACCGTATGTGGAGGCTGGGAGCTCCCTGCCTGCTTGGGAGTGAGTCTGCAGTAAGTACTAGCTGCTTCGCTTTCACTACCGTGGACAAAAGTGCTTCCTGGTGCAGGAAAGAAAGAAGGAAAGAACCAAAGGGAAGGAAGGAGGGAGGAAAGGACCCTTGAAGGGAGGCGATGGCATTAACCAAGAAAAGGCGGAGCCATGGAAGGACCCAGTACATGTGCATGTGAATATGTGTGCATGTGTGTGTGAGCATGTGTGCATGTACAAGCGTGTGTGTGCGTGTGTGCAAGTGCGAGCGTGTGTGTGTGTGTGGGTGTGCGTGTGTGTGTGTGTGTGCGTGTGTGTGTGTGTGTGTGTGTGTGTGTAGGGCAGAGCAGGAAGCCAACAGGCAGCGATGAAATGAATGGTGAGAGAGGCCAGTGACTTCATCCCGGAACACCTTGCAATGAAATATTTTGGAGACATCAGTGAAGTCATAACTGGGCTCAGTCCAGCCCCGCTCGGCCCGGCCCGGCTTCCCTCCAAGTCCCAGAGGAACAGCAGCGAGCCTGGATCTGGAGCGCTCTGTGCATCTTCGTTCCGGGCGAATGCTCGCCCACAAGGTGGTTGGGGGCTCCCGTGCCAGGCTCGCTTCTTGGGGCTGTGCAGGAGGTTGCGACGCTTGGGCTGTGTGTACACAGCGAGTTTCCTGATTATGCAAAACAGAGCGAGGAGATGAAGTTATTCATAGCCCTTGGATCCAGCAAAATGTTAACTTTTAAAGGCTTTTTTTTTTTACAACAAATTTTAAAACACTGGGGGCCTAAAGATAAATTCCACCCATATGTCTCAGCCTGAGTTAAGCTTCCAGGAATATATTTCCAAAGAGGTGAGACAGTGCCATCCCTGCAGGATGAGAACATTCTGGCAAAGGAATGAAGCCCAAAGCGGTGGGGGGAGATGAGCTTATTTATTCCTCAAGATGCATTCGTGCTTCCTGTGTGGCGGCTCTGTTCCTGCGCCAGGGCCAGAAGGAATCTAGGTGACACTGTCCCTTAATGATGCCAGACGACGGGGGGTGCTGGGCAAGAAATGGGCGGGGGGTTAGCTGCCGGGGCTCAGCCACAGGCCAGGCGGTCAGAGCCTGAGCCAAGCAGAGCTTCCAACTGCATGGCCTGATCAGGGGCCCCTCCCTCCCTCCCTCCCTTCCCTCCTTCCGTTTTTCTTTCCTGAGCTGAAATCTATAATAGAAACGTGCAATTGCCTGATTTTGAAATGTTTGCAACTTTCTGAGGACGAAGCCAAATGTGTCTTCAGATGGAATTTGGCTCACAAGCTTCCGGGCTATAAACCTGAAACAAACAAATGTACTAGTAATGGGAAGCCTTGACTGCGAAGATCGAGACAGACAGGGTGTTGTGGGTTACGGGGGAGCAGGGCTCCGCGTGTCCTGAACGGGGTCCCCGCTGAGTAGGGCCAGTGGTGAGGTCTGGTATTGAGCAAGCAGCTCCCCTTTGCAGGGGAGGGTGACGGTGCTTCCTGTGGGGAAAGAAGGGGCGGGTGCCGTCCTTAGATGTGTGTGAGCATCGGGCAGGTAGGACAGGTAGACGCCAGTGCAAATTCACGCAAACAGAGCTTTGGCAAGCTCAGAAGGGGTGCAGCCATGGCGAGGCCATAAAATGCCGAAACGTCTTAAAGCGTAAATGGTGACATGGAACGGGCCTCGCAGCAAAGGATGGGCTTCCTCCGGACGCTGAGCCACCTCGGGAAATGACGCCACTGCCCCAGCATTGGGCTCCCTGTACACCTGGACATGGTACCCACCGGGTGAGGGTGCCCGAGGGCAGAGGTGACAACACCTCCAGTGTTACCCACCGCCAGCCAGGTGGCTTTCCCCGCTCCCCCAGCAGGCGCGGTCTGGGACACGGTTCTCCTGCTTAAAATAACTCCACATCAGCCCAGCTGGCGGGGCTCAGTGGTTGAGCTTCCATCTATGAACCAGGAGGTCACAGTTCGATTCCTGGTCAGGGCACATGCCCGGGTTGCAGGCTCAATCCCCAGTAGGGGGTGTATAGGAGGCAGCAGATCAAAGATTCTCTCTCATCATTGATGTTTCTCTCTCCCTCTCCTTTCCTCTCTGAAATCAATAAAAAAATAATAATTTCATGTCAAATCTGTTTGGGGAACGAGGTTCTTGAGGTCCTGCAATGTAGAAAAATTGTTTAACTACCATTTCTTTGGCCAATGGGATTCTTCCCCAAATTTGACTGCATCGATCCCTCCCGTTTTCCATGCAATGCTCACAGACACCTCACCTGTCCCACCAGAGTTCCATGGCACATGCATGGACCAGTGTGATCTCACATCACTGCTTCCTGGTGAGATTGCTCTTCTAGACGTTGGGACAGAGCGGCCGGAGTTGTCAAATTCAGCCTCCCCACTCAGTTTCCCAGACCTGACCCCTGAACTCCCTCAAGCTTTGTTTCTCCCACAGGTGGAAGAGGCCCTGAGTGAAGTCGACTTTGAGCTCAAGGTGGACCTGCACTTCACGGACAGCGAGCAGCAGTGAGTGCCCTTGAACTTGTGAATCCTGGCACCACATTCCCTCCCCCAGCCCTTCCCCACCTGGGGCAGCCTCATGGCCATGAACCTCAGAACATCTTCAGAAATGCCTTTCTCTGACTGACTTATTCACTTAGCATAACACCTCCTAGGTCCACCCATGCTGTCACAAAGGGTAAGATTTTGCTCTTTTTAATTTTTAAAAAATGTTCTAAAAAGTATGTTTTATGATTTCAGAAAGGGAGACAAAGGTAGGGAGAGAGAGGAACATCAATGATGAGAGAGAATCATTGATCGGCTGCCTCCTGCATGCCCCACACTGGGGATGGAGCCCTCAACCTGGGCATGTGCCCTGACTGGGACTTGAACAGTGATCTCCTGGTTCATAGGTCAATGCTCAACCACTGAGCCATGCTGGCTGGGCTGATTTTGCTCTTTCTTATGGCCGAGTAATGTTCCACTGTATATGTGCACTACAGCTTTTTAATCCTCTCGTCTGCTGACTTGAGTGGCTTTCATATCTTGGCTATTGTAAACGAAGGCTGCAATGAACGTAGGGGTGCATACATTCTTTTACTTGCTCCTTTTAATAATCCAACATTTGGTCAACTCCTACAGTTTGCCATGGACTGTGCTAGGTGTTGGGGTATGAAGTTGAATTTGTCACATTACCTGGTCTTAAGAGGTGGGGTCTAGTGGAAAATGCAGACTCGTAGAGGCAGCTCAGTGCTGGCATCTGTCGGGAAATAAAGTGAGTGTGGATGGGGTGCCAGGCGGGGTCTCCCCTGAGACAAGCCTCAGACAGAGTCTGGCTGTCCTTCCATCCTTGGCGGTGGGCTTGGAGGCAGTGACAGCGGAGCACACATCCCAGATCTGCCAGGAAACAGCGGGACGTCTCTCTCCCCTCCTCCGAGCCTCAGTTTCCTCATCTGCCCGTCAGGGGAAAGACAGCTTCCACCAGACGGTCTTGGCAGGGGTTGGATGACTGAGGCATGGCGGCGGGTGGCTAGGGTGAGGTTGTCACCCAGATCTGCCTGGACGGAGGCAGCAATGACGCCGTCACTCACCCGAGCCACTCGCTTGCCTTGCAGGCTGCGGGACGCGGCGGGGGCCCCTGTGATCAGCAGCCGGACGCTCGGCTTACACTTCCACCCCCTCCGAGGCCTGCACCACCAGGTGCCCGTCATGTTCGACTATTTCCACCTGTCGGTGATCTCGGTGACCGTCCACGCCGCCCTGGTGGCCCTGCAGCAGCCCCTGATCAGGTACGGCGCCGGGAGCCCGAGGGCACCTGCTGGTCACACCACCATGGAGGGGGCCTGAGGGACACGGAGGTGGCAGCATCGGTCAGCACTGACCAGAGATGCTCCTCCCAGGCTGCAGGGGGGGCGCAGAGCCGCACTGCCGGGCAGGGAGAGGTGGGCGGGGCAGCTGAGGGCACCAGGAGCCCAGGGGGCACAGGCCCGGGTCGGATAAGAGTACAGACCCAACCCGAAGACTTGGCTGCTACACCTGGCTCGGCTTTGCCTCAGTGGGCCCACTTGAGAAGTCACGCGACGGCCCTGAGACTCCTGCTCTTCCTCTCTAACAGGAACGGGTCCTGTCCATCGAGGTTTCGTGACTCTCAGGGAGGGCAGTGCCGGGCAGGGCAGGGCAGGGCAGGGCAGGGCTCTGGTGCCTCCCCACTCCAGGAGAGGAGCTCGATGGAAACACTGGCTCAGGCTCCTCCTCGGGGTAAAAATAGACCTGGCTCCGCCCTCTCATCCGCAGGGAGGGTTCTGTTTGTTCGCTCACAGTGTCTGGGAACAAAGACAGCCCTTGAATGTCATGGGAAATGCCTGTCAAATAGGGCCAGCCCTGGTTTTTCTAGAAAAGCCATTTCCAAGGCGTCGGGTAAATCCAATCAGAAGAAAGCCGGTGTGAAATGAAAATTTAGCCTAGAAAGACCCGTCCCTTCCTGAGGCCGACAGAGGAGAGACCCAGTTTCACCCTCTCGAGGACCATCGGGTGTCAGTTGAGGGATTCAGATCCACTGAATGGATCAAGACCACGCTTTCATCAGGTAATGAGGCATTTTATAAAAATATATTTCTATTGCTTTCAGAGAGGAAGGGAGAGGGAGAGAGAGAGAAGCATCAATGATGAGAGAGAATCATTGATCAGCTGCCTCCTGCATGACCCCCATGCAGGGGATCGAGCCTGCACCCGGGGCATGTGCCCTGACCAGGAATCGAACTCTGACCTCCTGGTTCATTGGTCGATGCTCACCCACTGAGCCATGCCACCCAGGCAGTGAGTTATTTTATTAATTTATAGTTTGTCCCCCGAATGTGCCACACGTCTCCTTGCTCAAATATGTGCTATATTTCTTCTGGAATATTCCTTCCCAGCAAGCTGGACACTTGCTTCACATCTCAGTTAGAAGCAAATCAGCCTGAAGAGTCTGTTACCCTTGATTGGATTTGTGGTGTCATCAGCAATAGCTATAGAACCACAATGATGACCACGTTAGATTTTATTTCCTTTGTGGTGTGACCGGCAATAGCTACCAGCCTTTATGGAGTCATCTCTATTCATCAGCACAGCACTTAAAGCTGCACTTGTCTGGCCCCATGAAACCCTCATAATAACCCCCAGAAACAGAGGCCCCGGGATGTTTAAAAACGATTCCCAGCCCTGGCCGGCGTGGCTCAATGGTTAGAGTGGCAGCCTGTGCTTTTTGGAATCAAAAGGTCGCACGTTCAATTCCTGGTCAAGGGCACATGCCTTGGTTTCAGGTTCCCTCCCAGCCCTGGTCAGGGTGCAAGCAGGAGACAACCGATCAATGTGTGTCTCTCACACAGATGTCTCTCTCTCTCTTTCTCTACCTCCCCCCCTCTCCCTGTCCCGCTCTCTGAAAAAACAATGGAAAAAATATCCTCAGGTGAGGATTAACAAAAAAATAAAAATAACCTACTCCCATGTCACAGAGCTGATAGGCGCTGCTGCTGGGGTCGAACCCTGGCTACCTGGGCACACTGGCTGCCTCTTAATACCTGTCCACACTCTACTTGGGCGACATCCCTCACTCCTCATCCTTCCACCCAGTTTGGCTTATAAACTGCTCTACACTCACTGGCCTGAGTTCGCCTCTCGTATTCCGCCTGCCTCTCTCTAGCCCAGTGGTTCCCAGCGTGGGGCACACTCCCCACGGGGCGGGGGGCAATTTGCTTTTTTAAGGGGGGCAATTTGAGAATGAGTTATTAGCAGTGAATTTTTTGCATTTCTTATGGTTCTAGGGGCCTCATATACAGCATATAAACATGTTGTGACATATTTATGCATGTCAGGTCTCTATTATATTTTTGAAACTTTATTTGCTATTTCTTCATATCACTTCATATTATTATTATTTTTAACAATTTCTTAGTGATTTCTTCCTCAGTACTTCAGCTGTCGTTTTGTTCTTTTATTTTTCTCTTTCACGAATGCCATGTTCTTTGGAAGCTTGTTTAGACCAAGTTAATGGCCTTTTCAGCTTCCTCCACGTGACTAGGAGTCACTTTTTGAATAATGAGAATTATATGTCATGGGGGGGAGGAGGGGAGGGCATCAGGATTTTAGAGATGCTTAGGTGGGGCACGGCCAACAAAAGGTTAGAGACCACTGCTCTAGACCAAAGTGTGTTTACCGTGAGGGCTATGTCTTAATCACGTTGCTACCTTAACCCCGACTCAGCCCAGTACATGGCAGGCGCCCACTAAATACCTGACTAACGAATGAAGCAGAAATACAGTGCTTGCTTCATCTCCCCGCCAGCGTTCTAAGCAGACACGGGGTCTCCTGGATTAACACCTTGCAGGGTCCCTCCTGGGTACCTGTGCTTCATGATGTCATCTGAGGGTATTTATCCTCAAGGCCTCTTTGCCATCAGAGGCTTGGAATCTCCCTGCAGGAAGAAGAATGCCCATAAAATAGTCTTGACAATGGAAGACAATTGACGTTAGGGTAATTAATAAAAGAGATGGAGAGAAAGAGGCCATGAGAACACAGAGACTTTGTCACTCTATCAATGGAGGAAAATCACAAAGGTGAAGGAGGTGGTCATGAACCCAAATATGAGAAATCCAAGTGATTGCATCGGCTTCCGAATCCCCTTCCATCTGCCTGTGACCGTCGCCTTCACACCCATCAGCTGGTCTTCCTGTTGACTTGTCGAGCTGGGCGGGGCCTGTACAGTTGTCCATGGAGCAGATTACAGCATCTCCAACTGGCATCGACCTCATGGGCTTCCTCGTCACAGCAGTCTGACAGCCATGATCCTACTAGGACCGCCCCTTCTATGGGACTTGTCTTGTGGGCTCCCCAGCCATTCCCCCAAGGAACTGACTTGGTGGAATCATCTTTCTCTACATCAGCGGTTCTCAACCCGTGGGTCGCGACCCCTTTGGGGGTCGAATGACCCTTTCACAGGGGTCACCTAAGACCACTGGAAAACACATATATAATTACATATTGTTTTTGTGATTAATCACTATGCTTTAATTATGTTCAATTTGTAACAATGAAAATACATCCTGCATATCAGATATTTACATTACGATTCATAACAGTAGCAAAATTACAGTTACGAAGTAGCAACGAAAGTAATTTTATGGTTGGGTCACAACATGAGGAATTGTATTTAAAGGGTCGCGGCATTAGGAAGGTTGAGAACCACTGCTCTGCATTCTCTTTCTCTGTCTCCACTTCTTTCCTCTTCAGTTTTACTCGCCCAGGAAGAGGCTCCTGGCTTGGAAAGGGCGGCCCGGAAGTGGGCCCGGAGCAGTCCAGCCTTTCTCTGGAGAACCTGGTCTTCGGAGCTGGATACTGCAAGCCGACTTCCTCCGAGGTACGTCAGCGTGGAGCTGGGCAGTGGCTCCGAGACCAGCAAACTTCACTTTGTGTGTGTGGGCGGGTGGGGAGGGTGGGCGGTGTTCAATCAAGCGCCAGCTGCTTCAAACGTCCCACGTAGAGAGTCCTTGCTCTGGGTAACGACTGTCCCTCCCTGTCACCTGTCCCTCCGGCCCTTGTTTTAATTGCTGCTACTTCCCTCAGACATATTCTAGCTGCCAGGCCTGGGGCAGACGCTGAGGATCCGGTCTGCGTGTGGCACCTCTTTGACCTGGTTCCTCAAAGGATGTGGTTCTCTGGGGGCCACGGGGCATGTTGTGTGGGGCTTCCCGAGGTGGCATGGGAGTGCCAAGGGGGCTGCCCTGGGAGACTTCAGAAACCTTAGGCCTGTGTGGGTGGCAGCTGGGGTCCCTGTGGCTCACTCAGCCTGTCTGATTCTGTTGCGTCTACGGAGGTCGAGGGTGACCCGCCACATCTCTCCCTCTGAGCTGTGGTGACGGGAGAGAAAAAAGTCTGGTCTCAGGCACCTGCCATGCTAAGTACGAGGTGACTTGGGGGTGGGGGGTCTTCGCCTCAGGTTCCTCAGCTCTAACATGGGGTAACTGTGTTTTAGAAAGGGTTTCAGGAGTTCACATGTGTCAAAATAGGACCGAAATAGACTCCTAGCAGGCATGTGACACGCATCCTTTTTAAACATTCTTCTTGGCTATTTTGGGGGATGTGTGTCAGAGAAGACACCTCATTTCCCCCGGAGTCAGATAGAACGCGTGTTTGTGGCTGCAGCTGTGAGCTTGCTCTCGGGGCGCAGCTCCATGGGTGGCTTTCGGGACCCAATTCTCTTCCGTGCGTCATCCATCTGGGCCCATCCAAACCTGCAGGCTCAGCGCTGCACCCACTGCTGCCTGTCCACCTGGCAAGGGCTGCAGGCAAAGAATGAAGCCCCCCCCCCACTACTTCCCTGGGGCTGTGCCTCCAAATTCCTGAGAAGCAGGTGCCTTAGGGGATCGCACTGCAGCCTCAGACTGCAGCCCCAGCAGGATCAGGGAGTAGGAGCTCCTCCCACACCGGCTCCTGTGAGAGGCCTTTGCACAGGGGCTGGTGGTGAGACCAAGCACTGGAGGGAGGGTTGCTGTGACGTGTGTATCCCTTTGTCCCCAGCCCCTCCCACCCTCAGCCCCTTCCGACAGCTTCAGATTTAGGGCCTGAGGGAGGCTCGCTCTCCTCCCCATCGCAAGCCCGCAGCTTTGCCTGGGGAATTATTTTCCCCTCCAACTCCCGGCTTATCTGTCAAAAGGGGTTGGAATGCCTGCCTCGTGGGGTTGCTAAGATTAAATGAATAAGCTTATAAAAGCCTTGAGCTTCCAGCCTGGCATAGCAGTGCTCCGGAAATCCCTGGGCTGGCATTATATTCCTTTTAGTTGATCCACATCATTAAACTGGATGATAATTAAATCGGATGTGACTCCAGGAGCCCCAGTGTGGTCTCGTGGGCAGGACACTCGATGCAGGGACTTGGATAATGTAGTTCTGTTCTTGGCTTCAGCACTAACCTGCTGTGTGACCCTGAGTCCAATGCTTGCCATCTCTGGGTCTCAGTGTCCCATGGAAGGGAGATTGGGTGAGATCGCCCTGGAGGCCTCTGTGCTGTTTGCATGAGAGACAGAGCACCCTCAGTGTCGCTGGGCTCTGTGTGCAATCCAGTCAGCAGACTGGCGGATGGGGCGCACCTGGGCCCGAGGCCCCTCCCTGCCTCTCTGCCCTGGGTCTCAGATCTGCGCTGGCCCCGGGAGAGCAGAGCGGCAGGTGGGGGGCAGGAGGGAGGCCTGTGTTCCACCACCAGCCTCCCACACTGCCACGCCCTGTGCATCCCCCGCCTCCCCCGCCCTGCGCCTCGTACAGGATGTTTCTTCCTCTGACATACAGCAGGAACGCTCCCTGCGTCCTCTGGGCTCATAACTGCTCCGACTGAGCAAATACAACCCATAACGTGGGCACAGCTGTTCACCGAGCAGTTCAGACTTGACAGGGGTTCCTGCAAAGAACAGTGGTACTCTCGGCCCTGGCCTTGCAGTAAAGAAATCCACATTTAAAGGGACTCTGCACTTCCTTGCCTTGGTCCTTGAGTCTAAATCAGTGAGCCATCTGGGACTCACTCTCCTTCCCCCCGTCAGTAAAGTAACAGCAATACTTGGGGTGTCCACAGGCGGGACAGTGCACACCCCGGTGACGAAAGCTGCCGGGGGGCAGGTTCCAGGCTTAGCGATTCTAGAAGCCAACGGAGAACTGGCTATTGTCATCCTCCCCTCAAAAATATCAGCCTGTCCTCCCGATCCGCGTCCTGTTTTCCCTGAAAAATGAGCAGGGCCCGTGGGATCTTCCCAGCCCCACGCTGGCTGCCTCCAGTCTTCTGCATAATTGAATGTATTTGATAGTTCCGATCATCCTGAGAAATCACTTTACAAATATTGAAATAATAAGAGATCCATCAGAGCACCAGCGGTGTAATATTACCTTCGGTTCCCATGGCAACCAGGGCGCTCGTGTTCGGCGGGGTGGTTATTAATGGCATTTGCCCCGGCCGCGTGTTGGGTTGGCTCGGTAAGCGCTCACCCGGGGTGTTTATCATCACCTGCCGTGCGTGCAGCTCATTTCGACTTATGTCTATTGTGGGGATTTTAGAAATGGTTTTTCATTTGCTGGTTTGGTTCTATTTGATTTTTCAGAAGGTATGTGGCCAGCGTCTGGTAAGCAGCTTCTTGGCTGTGTTGCTTCGTCGGTCCTCTGTGTGTGTGTGTTTTGGGAAGGCAGGTCACTGAACGGGTTCAAGGGGATCTCTGGGGTATAGACTCGGTGGCTGTAGGACACCTCAGGAAGCAAGAAATCCAGCACCAGACATCAGAAAGGAGGCGGGATACTCACTGAGCAACGACTGCTGCCCACAGTGCTCACTTTTTGCAAGATCTCCTCCGAGTCTCCTAACGTCCACGAACCTTTTAAAGTAGGAGACCCATTCTACAGGTGAGCAAACTAAGAATCTGAGAGTCCAGGCATCCTTCCTAATGGTAGTTGTTTGAACCAGAATTCGAACCCAGTTCTAGATAACTCTGGAGCGATTGTTCTCTTGCGTGTATTTGCACTAATGTGAGCTCGTCCCACGCTTGTTCTCATGGTTGATGTATTTAGAGTGGTTGGCGCGTGGCCAATACGGAATTAATTTTCCTGCTCCTGTTTTTACTGGTCTCATTTCCTTTAGTACAGTTACAATTAGAAGTAATAGCAGTAGAATGATTCCTCGTTTTGCTCATGTGCACACAAAAATTGCAATTTGCAAAGCAGTGTTAGAATCCAGGGTGACACACAATCCCTCATGTTTTTAAAATGTCTACGTGGTGATTTTTATGAAACACATACACCTGATCGAATTGGAGAATAGAACTGGTTTTCCTTAAACCAGAGCCTTCCTTCAAATTAGATCTTAAAAACAAAGACATCCATCAGGAAAGTGTGGGGTTCTGTGATGCTCTGAAAACTAGATTTGCCTGTTCGGTGTGAGTAGTGGAATGTTCTTAATTAAATATGAAGAATGCCATGTGCCTACGGCTCACGGAATTGCTGAACATTGCACACCGTTTGGGGAGTAACTTTTAACGAAAAAATACATGGAAATGAAATAGGAGCAATGAAAGTGCTGACACTGAATGTCTGAACAGATGGGTTCAGCATTTTCACACATGAAGTGTTCAGGAATTTCTACCCGACGGTGGTCGCCTTGGCTGAGGATCTGCTGTCTGCAGACCTGTGTGACCAGGCATAGCTGTACAGTGACCTGTGCATGTCATCCAAAGGCTCTGCAGCATCACCTCTTCCAGGAAGCCTGCCCTGCCCATCCCACCACACATTCCTAGCATCCTAAGGCTTCTCCTAATGGGACTCCACATTTCACAGCTGGGTATTTGTGTCCCAGGTTCCTCCAACTAAAGAATTGTTTTCCTGCCCTAGCCGGTATGACTCAGTGGATAGAGCATCGGCGTGCGGACCAAAGGGTCCCGGATTTGATTCCAGTCAAGAGCATGTACCTCAGTTGCAGGCTTCTCCTCGGCCCGGGCCCTGGTTGGGGCATGTGCAGGAGGCAACCAAATCAATGTGTTTCTCTCACATCAATATTTTTCTGTCTTTCCCTCTCCTTTCCACTCTCTCTAAAGATCAATGGAAAAATATCTTTGGGTGAGGATTTTAAAAGAAAAAAAAAAGAGTTGTTTCCCCTAGGGCCGTGGTTGGCAAACCGCGGCTCACGAGCCACATGCGGCTCTTTGGCCCCTTGAGTGTGGCTCTTCCTAAGCCTTAGGAGTACCCTAATTAAGTTAATAACAATGTACCTACCTATATAGTTTAAGTTTAAAAAATTTGGCTCTCAAAAGAAATTCCAGTCGTTGTACTGTTGGTATTTGGCTCTGGTGACTAATGAGTTTGCCGACCACTGCCTTAGGGGGTAGGGTGTGAGGGGGAGGAGGGCGCTAAGTTTAGAGCAGTTAGGATCATGATGATGAATGGAATGGAACTGGCCCTGTGCCTTGCTGGAGAATAGAGAGAAGCCCAGTGGGACTCCCAATCATACTTGTAGTCAACGGATGCATTTACCCAAGATGCATCATTCATTGGCACTAAGGTAACTCACAGGAGGGTTTTGAATTATTCAGGGTTAATATGTCAACTTATCTAATTACTAGCGAGTTCTTGCTTTTAAAGGTTTAAATCGGCCCAGCTCTCTCGGGGATGTAGGAATTGAGCGATTCACTAAAGAAAATGCCATCACATATGAAAGGGTTCATATGGAATTCCTACTGATAATAACCCTAAGACTAATGGACCATGCCTTTGTCCTGCTTATGGGAAGTTTTCTTCTCTCTCTTGCCCAAAGAGGGCAGCGAAGGCCCTGTCCAAGGTGCTGAAGCTGGTGAGGGTTGGGAGGAGGTGAACTTGACCCCCGGACCCCAGGCTATTCCTATAATTCCAAGCCCACTGAATATTTAGGGCACTCTGTTGCTTTGCTTCATAAAATGGAAGTCAATAAAACTGGCCTTGCAGTGACTTAGAGTCAGAACAGTATATTTTTAAAATCGCTGCTTAAAACAGGCTCATACACAGAGAGGAAAGGAAACCACGTTGAGGAATCAGGAAGGTAAACAATGAGCAACAAGGATTGTCAGGCCTGATGCTTAGCCACACAGTGTGCGCTTGTCCTCCGCACTGGACAGAGCGTTGAACTCTCAAAGGGTGGCGAGGACGAACACCGATGAGGGAGGACTTGCTCCTGAGGAGCCCTAAGAAAGTGCCCTTGTGAGCAGGGAGCAGGGCCAGAAACGGGGGGCTCAGGGCTCCTCGAAGCAGGCAGACTAGGGACCCATCCCCCTGGAGCTGACGGCTTTATGAACCCACTGTCGGCTTTTATTTCTGCTGAGTCACCGCTGATGGAGGCACTGCAGGACTAAATGAATGCCTTCGTCAGTGCACACAGACCTGCCGGGCACCTGGCTGCTGCCAGCCACGGTTTCCGGAGGCCCAGGCCGCGCACCGAGAAAGGCCTTCCCCCGCTAGCACTCCGCTCGGGGAGTGTTTCGCCTGCGGCAGAGCGGAGTGGCCGCGTATAAGTCATTAGGCTCTTTGAGCCACAGTCTTTTGATCTGGGAAATGGAAATAGGAGTTTGTATTATTTATTTATTTATTATTTTATTTTAATTCTCACCTGAGGATATTTTTCCATTGATTTTCTTTTAGAGAGAGGGAAAGACAGGGAGAAACATCGATGTGAGAGAAACACATCAATTGGTTGCCTCCTGTACATGCCCTTGACCAGAATCGAACCCAGGACTTTTCAATCCATAGGCTGATGCTGTATCCACTGAACCTAACGGGCTAGGGCTGGATTATTTATTATTTAGTCTGATAAGAAAGAACTTCAAGGCATGAGACGTGGTCAAAGCAAGGAACAGAGAAATGTCCAGAGCATTTGCCAAATTGTGGGTACATGTGTGTGTGCTTTCAGGACACAACTGCACATATGAAGTGCACATGCACCCATGTATGCACATAGGCATGTGGACATATTCTAGAAGGATCCATCAGGAATGATTTGGTTCTGGGGAATGAGGCACTCTATGTTGTGTTCCCTCAGTAATACGGAGATGTTTACATATTTCTATTCATTTTGAAAGTCAAAATTGATGATCCAATGAGATGAAGCAGATGGTAGGACTCTTCAGATGCCTCGTCAGCAGTGGGTTCCTCTTGCTCCAGAGACCTGGGGAGTCCGACACGCACCTGCTTACGCGCTCTGTTAGATTTTCTACAGCTGTGCTGATGTCCGGTCTGAACACACTGGGAGAGAGGGGGGATGGGAGGGCGTGGGTCACCCGAGCGCCTGTGAGCACAGATGTCCGAGAGATGGAAATTTTTGCTTATGAAATGGGAAAGTCTTTTGATTCCAGTCCCTGTGTGTGGAATGTGTCACTTAGGTTCAAACCAGAAGGGACCTCAGAACGGTAAACCAGGTTTGTCCACGGCCCTGTGTGTTCACACTCAGAGCCTCGCACAGATGCTTGCCCAACACCGATGACGTCGCCTCCCACCTTCTTCCTAGTGCCTGTTTGTGTTTCTCCTTCTCAGCAGGGGCACTACTCACCCCCTTGTCTGAGGGCCTTGCTGAATTCCTCGTCTCCCTGGGAAAAGGAGCCTCCTGCTGTCTGTCCCCATGGCCCAGCGGTTCTCAACCTGTGGGTCGCAACCCCTTTGGGCGTCAAACGACCCTTTCACAGGGATCACCTAAGACCATTGGAAAACACATATATAATTACATATTGTTTTTGTGATTAATCACTATGCTTTAATTATGTTCAATTTGTAACAATGAAAATACATCCTGCATATCAGATATTTACATTACGATTCATAACAGTAGCAAAATTACAGTTATGAAGTAGCAACAAAAATAATTTTATGGTTGGGGGTCACCACAACATGAGGAACTGTATTAAAGGGTCGCAGCATTAAGAAGGTTGAGAACCACTGCACTATAACCTCTGAGCCTCAGTTTCTTCGTCTGTAAAGTGGGAGGGGGTAGAGTAACAGTGTCTATCTGTGCCCAGTGCCTGAAACACCTGACTGATAGGAGGAGCTGTTACTGTGACTGTCACTGTCACCGTCTTCCTGTGAAGGTGGGGAGCCAGAGGCTCGCACATGGCGGCGTTTTTCCCACACACAGGGACGGGGAGACTTGAGCCTTTGGCACTTTCCTCAGGCCCAGGCCGTGCGACGGTCCTCAGCTTTGGTTTCTGTCCCAGCAGGGCAGCTTCTACGTGCCCTCGGAGAACTGCATGCAGCGCGCTCACAAGTGGCACCGGGGGCTGTGCCTGCTGCTCCTGCACGCCTATCGGGGGCTCCGCGCCTACTTCCTGCTCATCATGAGGGATGTCCCGGAGCTGCCACACATGGAGCTGGGTAAGGGCCGGCCCAGGGGACACGCATCCCACAGCCCTTTCTCTGTCTGCTGGGGCGCGAGCAAGTCCGCACGCTTCAGTAAACCTCCGAGTAACCAGGTTACTCAGGTCGGTATTTCTGTTCTGTGCGTCATTCTAGGAGAGAATCTTAGATGTGCAAATGCAGGAAGAAAAGACACAACAACTCGAGAAGCATGCATTGATTCATTCACCCACCGAGCATTTATTGATCACCTACTGCATACTTGACACTGTTGGAACATAATGGTAGTTTATAGCCTTGTCTTAATTAGGTGATAATTATGGCATTGCAAATTACAAGAGTGCACAAGAAATAAATACATATATAAAGAAATAATAAGAAATAAATACAAATATACCCTTTAACATGGGTGACCACAGAAACCTCAGTGGCCTCACAATGGTTTTCTGGGGATGGATTGCTTCCTGCCCATCACCAAACATTGTGGAGACCATTGGACCTCTTGATTGACAGATGGTGGAACTGAAGCTCAGAGAGGTCAAACGACGGCTCAGGGTCACACAGCAGCGTGTGGCCGCACCATGTCAGGAGTGCAGGGGTCCTGGCTTCATGCTACTCACTCACAGCAGGTGGAATGTCAGGGTTCTGCTCAAAGTCCTCTAATGAGGCCCCTGTGCCCCTAGACCAGAAGCCAGGTCCTTAGCCTGGGATTCAAGGTCAACAAAAGAAACCTGCTGGGTCCCTCAGCTTCTCTTGGCTCTGCGGCTCCACCTCGCTGGACTTCCAATCATCAGTGCAATGGAGATGCAAACCTGTGTCCCACATGTGTGAAGCATATGTGTGTGAGTGTGTGTGTGTGTATGCACACACACATGTACCTGCAAAGGCACCAAAGAAGGTGGAGTCACTTTGAACTTGCACCAGGAGCCCTTGTTGGCCTTGTGGAGGGTGACATCACAGGCTCCAAGTCAGGTTCATCCCCTTTGCCACCCAGAGCCAGAAGGCAGTAGGGACGGACGGAAGGAGAGTCCTTGGGCAGTGGCTGTGTGCCAGGGCGTGTCTGTTTTATTGCGCGCTGTCCTTTCTTTTCCCAGAGTCCCTCGCTGTTGAAGAAACGCTGAATCGGCTGTGCTTGGAGCTACAGGTAATGGGAGAACCGTCCCCTCCAATCTGAACAGCTGGGGTTATGCCAGGCAGACATGGTTGCTCACTTGATAAAGAAATCAGAGCTGAGCTCAGCCGGTGTGGCTCAGTGGTTGAGCGTAAACCTATAAACCAGGAGGTCATGGTTTAATTCCCCGTCAGGGCACATGCCCAGGTTGCAGGCTGCATCCCCAGTGTGGCGTGTACAGGAGGCAGTTGATCCATGGTTCTCATCATTGATGCTTCTATCTCTCTCTCCTTCCTTCCCCTCTGAAAACGATAAAGAAACACACACACACACACACACACACACACACACACACACACACAATGGGGAAGTCGGTACAGACGCCAGGGAGGAGACTGCAGTCGCTTCCTGGAGGAGGGGCCTTTACCGCCGCTGCTCTGCCCCCTCAGATGCTGAACAACCCGGAGAAGATAGCCGAGCAGATAAGCAAGGACCTCGCCTGGCTGGCCTCCCACCTGATGGCCCTGTGGACCCAGTTCCTAGACACGGTGACGCTGCACGCCCACGTGACGGCTTACCTCACGCAGGAGCATCACACCCTGCGGGTGAGGGACCGCAGCAGTGGGTCTGTTGGGCAGAATGCGAATTGGGGTTGACTCTGCAGATGGCAGTGGGGCAGGGGTAGACCACCCCCTGCACAGGCATGAGATGTCTTTGAACTTAGCCTCTCACACCTTGGCTCTGCCTTCATGACACACCTCCCTCGGCTGCCAGATGAGAGCAGAGTCCGTCGCAGGGGTATCACACGTGTTTTGAAAAGTATTTTAAAATGTAAGACATCCTTCTTGGCGTATCTTTGTGCTGCGAGCTTGGATGCGCCGTCTCCTCGCGCACAGCGGGAGGACCCCGTGGCTGAGTCTGCAGAGGCTTGGGGACGCCCGTGCGTGGCTGGCTTTGCACATTCTGTTTCATCTGCATGCATTTATGGTCCCCGTGTTCACATGTCTTACACTGTAGTCGGAGAAATAAGCCCCAAGTAGAAAAATGACAGAAAGCAATGTAAGAACTGCTTCCTAAACGTGCGTTGAACTCTGTCCATAAGCCGTGTTGGGGCGAGAGCTGTGAGTGACAGAGGCCCCCACGGGGGAAGAGAAAGATTGTTCCAGAACTTGGGGGGTGGGCTCAGAGCCTCCCTTTAGGGCTGACCTCCGGGACCTCGACGTCCATAAACACCAGGGGCACCTGCCCATGAGTGGAACGGTGCACGTGACTCTCGCCCTCAGGTGCGGAGGTTCTCCGAGGCCTTCTTCTACATGGAGCACCACAAGCTCGCCGTCCTGACCTTCCAGGAGAACCTGTGAGTAGCTCCCGCCCGCGCCGCACCCTAGGAGTCGGCACTGGAGGCGGCGTTCAACGCGCCGCCGCCCTTCGCCCT